ATATATATTTGACTTGGAAGGTTACTCACTTTCATATTCTAGGATTAACTATCTGTTTTTCTTGCTCCCGGCAGACCCGGGAAAAGTTTGATCCTCGCTATAAGAATTTCACGAACAGAACAGAAACTATCGTTCAAATGTATCTTTTTGCAACGACGCCTAAAAGATCTTCCAAATGATTAAAACGATTTCCGAGGGAAAGTGAAGAAAACTCGTGAGCAATTGTGTATAACGGCTCGGATACCCGGACTATCACAGCGTCACATGAGAATATCGGATACACATCGTTCATTATTGACCTCCTCCTCTGCCCCCCTCCCCATACCCATATCCAATAAATGAAAAAAAATGCAATGCTGACGGTGCCTCTATCTGCTGTAATCATGTATAATGCTGTTTTACCGCGAAATTTCACCAGGAGGACCCGCAGTTTATCACATATGCTGTTTACATTTAACCTCCGCGATGGGAAACTTGAGGTCCGCAGTGCCTCCCTTTCCAATGAAATTTCTAGGCTTCAAATTATCAAACGATGGCGCTTCTTGCATTATTCTTAGGTAAAATTTTACGATCTAAAATATTTGTTCAGTAACTTTTCACTCTAAATTGAACGGTTCAAGAGGAAAATCGGTCATTCTCATGAAATCCGCGATTGATGTTAACTATCAATTTTTTTATGATGCAATTTTCTGGGGTCCAATGTCACCGTATGATCCTCAAAAAAAGGTTTTCCGTAGTAAAATTTTATCCTCTAAAAATTTGGTCCAGTAACATTTGGCGCTAAAACCAATAGTTTTGGCGCAAGATAGGAATTTAGGAGGAAAAACGTGCAAATTTTGGGAATTTTTTCAGTTTTTCGGCCATTTTGGGGTGAAATTTTTGCGGCCTTTTGGCGACCTTTAGATATTCGGATTCTGCTGATTTTTCTGCGTTTTTTGATGTATAAAAACCTTTTCTTGCAATTTTGTCCGGGTCCAACCAAATCTCGCCCCGACTATCAGTCAAACATGGTGTCTGGGAGCCAGAAAACCAGAAATTCTCCAATTCAGCACCAATTTTCCGGGGGCGTCTTCTCCCCTCTCCTCTTCTTCCCTCCCCTCTCCTCTTCTTCCCTGTCATCTCTTTCTTCCTCTATGGCTTTCCTTTTTTATTCTCCTTCCTCTCCGTCAGCCAAAAACCGTGGTGTCTACGACCTTGAAAACCGGAAGTTCCCGGGATTCATCATGGATGTATTTGGGGGCATCTTCTTCCTTCTTCTCTTCCTCCTCTTCTCTCCTTTCTCCTTTCTGCTGCTGCTTAATCTTCTTTCTTTTTCTTCTTATTTTCCGTTCTTTTCTTTTCTTTTCCTTTCCTCTCCCTCGGTCATGGTGTCTCTTAAGACCTGAAAACCTGGAAATTCTCAAGATTCATCAGGTACTCATTCTCCTCTGTTTCTTCTACCCTTCCTTTCTACTCTCCTGCCCACTCTCCTTCTACCTTTTCTCGTCACCCTCCTCCTGTTTCTTTCTCTTCCTCTTCCTCCTCCTTCTCTTCTCCCTTTTCTTCTCACACCCCTCTTTTTTTTCTTGTACTTCCACATTTTATCTCACCCTCTCAAGTACGATTCTTGTTCGATATGGATTCAATGTATGCGCGAAGTGAAATCTGAAAGGCCGCAAATGAAGGTACGTGCTTTGAGATTTGGAGCGGGGAAGTATGAGTGGATTTGAGGGTCACAGCTTAATTTTAAGCTCCCGCTACGAGCTGTTGGCTCGCGCTTGGCGCATAGTTGGGCACAAATCAAATTTGCGGGTTATTTTCGCCGCTTCCAGGGTGCCACGTCGTCTCCTCATGTATGCGTAGCATGCATCTATTACGTGGAAAGTTGAAAACGTACACACAAAAAATAACAAAAACCAAAACTAAACTGGTTGAAAGAAATAGAGTGTCAGAAAAAGAAGATCGAGAGGAATAAAAATGAGAGGAGAAAATGAAAAGAAATCAGACGGAAATGATAAATATAAGGAAGATCGAAAAGAAAATAGCGTAAGTGGAGAGCAGAATAAAAGCCGATGGGTGAAAGATGTAAAAATTTGAAGATGAATGGAAGAACAAAGAAGGGCATTAAAAGTAAGCAGGAGGCCGAAAGGAAAAAGGAAGAAGTGAAAATTGGAAGACCCAGAAAAAAGATAAAATGTTAAACAAGGTGAAGACCGAAAAAATAAGAAGCATGAATTTTAAATTTGCCGCCGGTAAATATTTTTTCTTGAATCAAGTATGATGCTGCTTGGACCGCGTTTTTGTTTAACCCAAGCATTTTTTCCTGTACATGATGTAGAACGAGAATAGGTGAAGAGCTAAAGAATTCGACTGGAAGAAAGAAAAAGTAAGATGCAGCCTGGTAATAAACATTGATTTTACCGTTGGATCTGACAGCATTAGTTGCCGGGTTGTCGGATTTACCATTAATTCAAGATATTGCGCCTAAATTCCGGAGAAAAGTGTTTGTTTCCGGTGCAACGCGGCAACCTTGCAAGACGTACACGACTTTTCTCCGAGTTCATTGTCAGTCATTGCCAGCAGCTTTCGTCCCATCTGCCCGAACGTCTTTCCTCTTCCCCCTCCCCTCCTCCCCAGGGATGTTCCAACTTTGAACATGACCCTCGGTTCGCTATCAGAGTTGCAGGGAAAGGAGGGAAAATTCAGAAAATCAGGGAAAATCAGAAAATCAACTCAGAAAATAATTTCAGGGAAATCGGGCTGCGGTTAGGGGAAATCTATGAAATTTTATGGAAGATACTTAAAATTCGACGAATCTCGAAACTTGCAATTTGAAAAACATCCGCGCTGATTACACAATCTAACTGCCTCTCCAAGTGGACCTTACGTTTTCCAATTAGGAACTACAAATTGTGTCTCAGTTTAGAAACAACGTTTGTACCATTAATTTCCCTATGCAAATAAGTGTTTTACGGATGAGCAAAAACTGTAGTTCTCAATTGCAAAATGTAGTCCAAGTAGTCTGTTCGGGGACTGACGGGCTCAGTGCTCTGAGCTGCATCGGATAGAGGAATCATTTTCAATTAGGAATTACAATTTCAGTCAATATCGGATGATTCCTGTTCAGGATGGAGAACGTCAGTGAAACCCTGAAAAAGAAAGGGGAATTCTGAAAAACCTGGAAAAGCAAGGAATTATATCGGAGGTCGAGGAACTTTCCCATTTGTAGAGGAGACAGCACTTAGGTGTTGCCTTTTCTCCTCCTTTTTCGTTTCCTCTTTAGTTTTCTTTGTTTCCTCCTCTTATTATCTTTTCCTTGTTTCATCTTCATACCCAAATCGAACGATTCATTTACACAATTCACTTAACGAAGATGGAAATCTTCAAGTGCTAAGGAAAAACGCCGTATTGACCTTCAGACGTTGCTAAATTTCCTTTGGTAAATCATGAATTTTTTGGAAAATTTTTAAACAATTATCTTCTAATTTTTTAGAAAATTTTGTTCGCAATCTTACCCACAGTTCTCGAAAATTTCTCGGAAAAATATTCTTAACTCTTCTCAAAAATAAACATTTTATCGAAGGAAATTTGGCAACTCTCGAATGTCCACACGGCGTTTTTCCTTAGCGCGGCAGTGTATTCGTAGGAATTCCGACGATCGACGTAAACCTATCTGCCGGATCTGCCTCTTTAGACATTGTCACATGCCCTTTGATTTATCACGGACTTTCAGAGGACCCTCAGTTTCAAAGAACCCCCCCCCCCTTCCTAATGTGTAGTATCTGAAATTTTAAAGGAAGAAGGTCGATAATTTTTCTGAATCCGGGGAGATATGGCAACATTCGAATCTTCGCTTCCTATGAATGGGCGCCTCAACTTTCGGATCGGGCCCACCGGCCCAGACCGATTGACGCAATCTGGCCGCCAAGCAATGTAAATAAAGCGTCGCAGCGCTGCCAAATCAGTACGATTTATGGAGTACCCTATATTTTCCCCCTGTGCTCTTCCTTAATCTTCTCTTCGGTGCCCCCGAATTCTTTCTGTTCTCCGCATCCCTCTGTTTATTATTTTTCTTTTTGAAATCAGGTTTTCTGTCGATACTCGCCGTATTTTTCCTGAATTTTTATATCCGTATCTCCTGAATTTTCCCCTATCTTTCTGTGTCTGTATGTGTGCCTTTATAGTATAGTTGGATTGCACTTTCCACACAGGAACCAAGAGCGTTCCAATGTCGCTAAGATTAGGTCAACCTAATCGGTGCAACTCCTTTTACCCTGCAAATATGAACTGATCATCTAGACAAGGTTTATCTTTACTCCCAACAAAGTATAAATTCAAGAAGAAAGTTATCTTTATAAATTTATTTTTTTGCGTGATTTCAATAATTGTATTGCAAAGGGAAGGATGCAAATCACACAATCCTAACTAAATTGGAATGTTCTTGGTTCCTTTTGGCAAAGTGGAATTCATTTGGTCGCAGCACTGCCGTGCTAAGGTAGAAAGCCGTATAAGCCACCAGGCGTTGCCAAATCTCCGATAAAAATACGAATTTTCAAGATAACCGTTGGATATTTTTCTTCAAAATTCTTAGACACTATTGTACACACACACTCTTATGTAAAATATCTCGAAATTTCAAGGAAAATTATACACAACTTTCCTCCAAAATGCATTTTTTATCTGGGGAAATTTGGCAACTCTCGAATGTACGTACGGCGTTCTTCCTTAGCATGGCAGAGTAGGCCTGCATACGCCCAAGTAAAATTTTTCTTACCATTCAACTTATTATTTCCGTACATTTCCTCTGTTTCCCGGTTCGTAATTGCATTCATCCTGAATTATTTATGTTTTCCTTTAATTTTCCCTGAGTTTTCTCCTCGTCTCCCCCTAATTCTTCCCCTTTCTGTGTCCTACTGTGTTCTTAGTTGACCGCAGGCCAATTGTTTTTTTTTTTGTTTTCTATGAAAAGCGTGTATTTTTTAATCGGTGTTAAAGACCTGTTGATGTTTTGCCTGTTGCAGACAATACGGTGAAAATGTTCGCTAACATTACCAACTACTTGCTAGGAAATTATGCCGATGGGCCCAAGACTGATCTGACCGCCGCCATCGACGATGTCGAGGAGCGATTCCGAGCCGTCGATACCGAAGACGATTGGCTCATGGTAGAAAAGACTGGTAAGTCAAGAAGATACGAGCTCATCAATTATTTCACACGACCAGTGTGTAATTTTAAAAGTCGAAAATAAAAAAAAAATACAAAAAAATGTACACGATACATGAGTTTCTCCGCCAGGGAGCTCCTGCCGCAAGAAATCGTTCACCACCCGCCCGCCGGGAGAGCCGTAACGCGCTGCCAGCTCGAAACGCGCACTGACGCCTACAAACCTAAGGGGATACTTCACGCATTGCGCAATGCTGGAAGTATCCCCTTAGGTTTGTAGGCGTCAGTGCGCGTTTCGAGCTGGCAGCGCGTCGCGCCGCGCCGCAGCGTACTAGAAACTTGCCCACCCCACAAGTAAGAGGTCAGGGTGATAAAGTGTAGGCAATTTGACATCAAATTCGAAATTAGCGACTCGAAAAGCATCAGTGTCGAAACTTCCGTGATCTTTCAGTCATTATCCGACTTATTTCTTCCTGTTCTTGAGTTTTGGACTATAGTGCGCTGCGGACGGCGGCGCTCAAGAAATTCTCCTTTGTGCTCTAGCCCTGATCCATGACGTGTGGTGATAAATACTGAGTAGAATGGCATCAAATTTGTGTAAATTCATTGTAAATGTATACATGAGCTACGATAACGGAAGTAGCCCTTTGACTCAATGTGTAGGAGAGAGGTAGCGCTCTACTGAATTTTTTACTTATTAATCAATAGGCGACGTCCGTTATCGTAGTTCAGCTATAAATTTACAATGAATTTACACAAATTTTACGTCTTTCTACTCGTTACTAATGCTACTACGCGTTATGGATCAGTTTCTTGCATGAACTTGAACGTAACGATAATCATTGCTTCTCACAGACACAAAGCGCATGAGGGGTTGTTGTCTTACACTGAAAAAAAAGATGTAGGGCTTAAGTCCCAACTGTTGGATGATATGGACATTTCCAATTAATTGTGGTAGTACCCCAATTACTTGTAGTAATACCCCGATTAATTGTGGTAGTACCCCAATAAATTAGGTTACTAACCCAAATGTTGCGGTGCTACCCCAACTTGAGTTGCGATACTACCAAAATTAATTAGAAACGTCCATATCATCCAACAAATTGGGGTAGTGCCACAATTTTAGGGGATAACCCCTCACACTTTTTTCCGTGTAACTCTCGGTGTAAAGGGACTCTACGGAGTCTTTGAGAAATGTGTATTTTGTTCTGGTGTGTTAGATTGTTGTTCTCTGTGTGTTTCAGATGTAAATAAGGAGCAACAAGAAAACGAAATAAGGATACTAGATACTCACTTAGGCGGAGAAATCCCGGAGCGAGGGCGGAGTCCGGGGCGGGGCGGGCGGCTGGCGGGGCGGCAGGTGTCGCGCTCGTCCTCGGCGTCCTCGCTACCCTGTCTTTCATTGGAGGAGTCGTGGTACATCACGCCCCCGCCCTGCTTCACCTCGGCAGGCCCCGCCCACCTGGAGACCTCCCCGCTCGAGAACCTCCTCATCGAGCACCCGAGCATGTCCGTCTACCACCGCCGGGCCGCCGCCACGAGCCCCGCCCACTCCCAGAGGCTCCGCTCCCGCTCTGTCTCCCCCTCGNCACCCCCAGCCTCTCCAACCCCTCCCCGACAACCGGCGCCCCGCCCACGCCCCCGCCCACCAGCGCCACCAGCCAATCAACAACCAGATTGTCCAGCTCAAGGCTGCCCAAAAGGTAATCACACTCGCCTTCATTAAAATCTAGCTCTAGTTCCAAGTCAGAAGCCTGTGTCACGCTGTCAAAGCTAGCCATCAAAATATCAAGGTTAGGTGTTATGATGGGTTTATTCGATGACCCGGACCAATCACAGCACTTCACCTTGACATTTTGATGGAGTATTCGGATAATGTGACACAGGCTAGAGAAAACATACATAAGAGTCGCTCTCACAGCGCTCTCTGGCGCTCTGCGACGCCTAAGTGTAACCAAATTTAACCTAACCTAACTATAGAATTGAAGAAACAGAAGTTGGCCTTATAGGTCAACTAAAAAAATGTAAATAAGGCCAGAACCGTGATTTGTCAACGCTTAAGAAGTGGCGTTCTTCGGAGAATTTGATTTTCCAAAACATTGAGTTCAGGTCTTAGTAGCAAAACAGACTTTAACACTCAAAAACCATTCTTTACCCTCTCTTCAAGCCGCTAAGCAAAGAGGAAGGTTTTGTCAACTGTTCTGAATAGTAATTTTTAGCCAGTAGCTGGATTGAATGGAAAAAACGGAGTTTTCGAAGAAAAAGGGAAGGGGGCCTGGGGACCTCCTCTTTCTTCTTTCCTGAATTATATTTCTCGTTTTTTCTTAATTATGCAATTATGACAGCTGTCTGCCTGTTATAAGTTTTTTTCTCAGTGTGTAAAACCTGTCATTTTTTTTTTTTTTTTTTTTTTTTTTTTTTTTTTTTTTTTTGTATTTGTGTTCATAGCATTTCGTACCTACAGTTTTGTTGAAATGGAAAAAGAAAAAAGGCAAACAGAAATAAATAAATAAATAAATAAAAAAAAAGAAAGATAAGAAAAGGGGAAAAAATCCAGTTGAATCCGTCAAAATGTTTGCACTGCATCATGCCTCAGCATGGCAGATTGGGAAGTAACAAGAGAAAAAAGGAGCCAATTCATTCCAGATACAACGTATGTGCCGTTGATTTCCCTATGCATATAGGTGCTTTGATAGATGAGCCAGCACAGTTAGTACCATCCTGCTTAATGCAGTCCAACTATAGATAAAACAAATCAAATGAATATGGAGAAGTGGATTTTGTGACAGAATTAAATGCATGGCTAAGCTTTACTTGAATTGACCGCAAGGTCAGTGCAAGTATGAGATCATGGCCTTGAACGACAATAAAGTCGAGTTCACACCGCGAGACCAACCTCATAAGGTGAGAAATCATATAACTGTTAATTTTCTCACGGAGAGGCAGGTAATTGAAGAGCCGAGTTGCCAGGCACACACACTTTTTCAAGATGTATTTTTATTGAATAGTCCTCTTTTTTCCTTCTTCCTTTTTTATCTTCTTTTACTTTTATTCCTCCTCTTTCTCCCTCTTTCTCCCTCTTCCTCCTCCTACTCCCTTTTTTCTTCCATTTTTTCCTACTCTTCTTTTTCTTCCCCTTCTTTTGTCTTTTTTCCTCTCTTTGTCCTCCTATTCCTCTTCTTTTTTTCTCCCTCTCCCTCCATATTCTTTTTTCTTTCTCTTCATTTTCTTCTTTTTCTGCATCTGCCTCCTCCTCTCCTGCTCCTTATTTTTCATCTTTCACTTCTTTTCATTATGCCTTTGCCTTCTCTTCTTCTCCCCCCCCCCTTTTTTTTCTCTTCCTTTGTTCAGCTTTTTATCCGATTCCCAATGAAAAATCTCAGTTGTCAGGAATGGTAAGACCCAAGTCTCTCAGACCAGGGTGAAATAGCCTTTTCGCAAAATCATATCCATTGAACAACTTACTTCGAACCGCCATAGTTGAAGTTTGATTTGACATTTTGTGGCGTTTGTCTTGTCTCTAAATGTTAACAGAATTCTCCTCTTGCACCGGTATAAGTACATTATTCTTCAGTTTAATATAGGGGTGAGGACCATGGGCGTTAGAAAGGAGGGAGGGTTTCAGGGGGGCCTGCCCCCCCTTGAATTGAAAAAAGTATCATCTGCCCCCCCCCCCCCCCCAGAAATTCTGGATACTGGGGAAAACCCTCGTCGAGGATGATTATCTCTCTTAATGTAGGGTCTTACGTAAATGAAAACACTGATTCATTTATTTTTTAAAAGCCTCAAAATGCGTCCAAATAGAGTTAAAGTTTTAAAAAATTTCCGGATATATCGAATGCAACAATACAAAAGTATTTTTTGCTGAAAGTAAATAAATCATAATGTTTCTGCAGAAATTGATAGAAAATCTCCGTTACGGAAGCCTCAAAGTATGTCTAAATAGATTTAGAATTTCAAAAATGTCCCGGGGGAGGCCCTCTGGACCCATACCCCTCAGACCTTCCGGTGGTAGGGGGGCAGGGGCCTAGCCCTCTAGCAAAATGACCTAAGTACGCCCATAGTGGGGACTGACGACTCTGTTTCTTTTAACGGGCCCAAATCAAGATCTCTTCGCAACCTTGACTTGATTGATTTTAATTTCTTTCCTTTATTTTTGCAGCAGCAGCAGCGTAGAGCCTGCCAGGCTCTGAAACGCAACCAGCTGGAGCGATCAAATAAAGCAATTCGTGAAATCAGCATGCGCAACAAGAGACAGCGGAGATCAGATCGTACGCAGAACCACTCCGGCGTCAACAACAACCGCAAATGCTGCTAGTTCACCAACACTGTTTTCACCCCGAAATTCGTACGCTACTTGATCTCACTCTCTGATTATTTCAGCAATATAACAGCAGAATCCAATTTATTTCATTAAATTTTATCAAATTTAATACTGTCCTCCTCTCCCAATCTTTTAGTACTTTTAAGTCTTTTTCTGGAATTCCCTACTCTTCGAGCAGGAAATCGCTTTGTAAAAGTCACCATTTTGCAGTATTTTAATTCCCTCAGACTCATTGGATGTTATCTGGAAAAGTGTTCCTGCGCTGAGTTCATCAAGTTGCAAATGTTCTCTTTGATGAGGAACTTAATAATCACCCGTTGCGCTGTATTTATTCTCTTAACATTGTTTCTAAATTAGCGAGAGCAATCACTAATTAATCGTTTTGATTAATTATAAATTTGTTAATTGTTTGTATGGTTGAGGCATTTTTTGGACTCAATGAAAAACCCTTTTCTTATTTCATCGATTAGAAATGTTGCATCTTTTTTAATTTCTGTAAGGTTATCCTTTTCCTTTCATGATTTAAAAGCTCTAAGTATCATCTCTTTTTTCAATGTTGAATCGGAGAATGCCTAGAAAACCCAAATGTAATGCCCATCTGTTCCAAAAATGGAGAAAACGAACTTGAAATGAGTCCTGGCAGCATTGACTATTATTTTTTGACCTAAGAAAAACGCAAAAATGTTTTGATGACGTTCAGTTTTTTACACAAATTATCAGAAAAAGCACATGTAAAAGAGAACAAAAGTGGTCTCCCAACTTGAATATTTAAACAGTCTTATTTAGGAGTTTCCTCTCTTCAATTAACAATTTTTTCCATTTGCTTTCCTAGCCAATGCTACTAAGAAGGTTACAATTTGAACATACTCTTATTAAGGTACATTTTTCAAGGTGCTTGTTTCAAGGTATCTTTTTCAAGATTTTTTCTTAAAGGAGCTCTCTTGAGGTACTCAATACAAGGGACACCTCAAGAGTGCTTCATTTTAAGACACTCTTCAGGGTACATTTTTAGATACTTTTTGAAGGTATTCTGTTTTAAGTTATTCCTCACGAGGTACTTTCTTTAGCACTCTGCTCCGAGGTTCTCTTTTATAGGTTTCTTCCGATGGTTCTATTTTCAAGGTACTTTCTCAAAGTGGCCATTGTAAGGTAATTTCCGAAGATATTCTGTTTCAAGGTACTTCAATGCTCAGTGAATTCAGTTAACATGTATATTCTCTGCTTTTGCGTTTAATTTTCTCAGAATCTGAAGGTTTTTGAGAATTGTGCGCTAAAATGGAACAAAGATTCCATAAGAATCAGATTTTCAGATCCCAGTAAACTTGTTCCTTTTTACTAGCCTCTCTGTGTGCTTGTTTCTACATGAGCTACTCTAACCTCAGGATCTTGGTCGAATTGAAGGGAAGTTATTTACTGAGGATGAAATTTTAAGAAAAGACTTTGTTGGAGTTCAGCAAAAATAAAAATAAAAAAAATAAATTAAAATCTACCATTTCCATTCTTAAACGGTCATTGAACCTCATTTTCCATAATAAAAAATGGAGATGGGGCCTTTTTTTTTTTTTTTTTTTTTTTACGATGAGACGCAGATGAACACAGTTCCAAGTTAACTTGTTGTCAAGTTTTTTTCTTCTTATCTATATTTTTTTTCTTCCATATAGGCAGGCTTAACTTAGATTTTTTGCTGTTAAAATTTCTTCTCGTCAGCCTATAATTCAATTAGGTTCAATTTCTAGTGATTGAAAATCGTAGGGCAAGATTAATTAATTTTGCATGTTGTTTGTGCAATGGCATGCTTTGCTCAAGCGATACTTTCAAGATATTAAGAAAGAAATGTCTATGAAAAAAATAAAAATACTAAAATCCAGTAAAAATATCAAAAGAAAACAAATAGTATGTATTGATTGTTAGCTTATCTCATTGTTTGCCAAAGGAGAATTTTTTTTTAATTTTTGACGAGTCGTTTGACTGTATTCGGTATGAATTTTGGAAAAACAAAATACTCTACCAGTATTTTGCGTCCTTTCTTTTCCAAACCCTGGAGTTTATTTCGGCCGGCAAAAAGTCAATATTTGATTTAGGGTGAGGTTTAAAAAAAGCGACAGACATCAAAGAGGATTTTTTATTTATCTTATCGGCCCTTTAACAGCCGTAGAGTTCCTTTCATGAAATTCAACATTCATTGATCCTCCTCAGTTTTCTGCACCTTATCCTGATGTAAATGAGGCCTTCTTTACAGGACCCTAAAGTCTGTACTCCCGTTCAAATTTTTTCCTAATTTAGCTTTTAAAATGAAACTCAGGGAAAGAATCTATGTCAAAAGGAACTACTTCTTGGCATATCCAAAATTGTTGAGGGGCACTCCCTTCAGGAGGTACCCATGTTTCGTTTAAACAGCTTAAAATTAGGAAACATTTTGAAAAGCAAGGGTGCGGACTTTTGTGACACCCTGTATAAGAACAAGGTTTGTGACACTTAAATTACAATGATGCCGTGCCAAGGTAAAATGCTGCATGTACCTTCAAATGTTACTAGACTTCCTTCGTTAAAGGACGAATTCATTGAGAAAATTCGTAGTATTTTTCTCCCAATTTTTCAGACAATTTTGCCGATTTATTCTAAAATAAATATCAGAAAATTTCAAAGAAAAAAATGCGTAACATTTCTAAAGAGTAAATATTTTTTGGAGGAAATTCTACAACATTTGAATGCTCATGCAGCATTTTTCCTCAGCATGGCAGAACGGACCTGTGTTTCTATTATGGATAAGGCTCCAAGGAGCTGTCAAAATGTAAATAATAGTTTTAAAATCACCTCAATGTTCCATTTTAAGTTTAGTCTGAAATGAAAAAAGTTGTATTATTTGCGGTCCTCATACATCGCTTTATATTGGAATTTATCTTTACAATTGTGAAAAATGAATATATACATATGTAATACATATATATACAATACTGTAATAATGGCCATGTATAGATGTATATGCACACTTTTTTTTGCGCTAGCTGTAAAACTTTGACTCACTTTCAAGTTTCTCATGTCCTTCCCTGCAGGTACTGGCGGGTTTCCATGGTTATTCTTGGGTTTTTGTGGGGCCCTGCATATTTCTAGCAGTTCTCATGAATCTTCATGGTTTTTGCGAAAACATTGCAGTGTGCACTTAACATGGGACTTTGGTTTTGATATTTTCCATGTTTCCACGGTATTTTCCGTTATCCATGGATTCCAGCAAGTCCTTGCCGTTTAGAGGACACTCCTTGAGTTCTGCTAAAATTAGAGTATTTTTTGTGCTTTTTCTCTAATTTCCGCAGCTTCCTCTGAACTTTCTGTCCTAAAACACTTTAAACAGGTGTAACATTTTAAAGTATTATCTACTTTGAAGAGTTTAAAACAAGTTGATTTTGTACAGACCGGAATGAGTATACCTGCATTTCACGTTACCTAATTTTCTCTTGTTTTCATTATTTTTACGAGAAAACTAAACTACTCAATGCCTTTAAACTTCTTGTGAATTTTGCGCTAGATTTTAAAGACTAAACTCTCTGAATTTCAAATTTCAATGCTGCTCGGTTTTCTGTTGAAAAGATATAGGACGAGAGAAAAATAGGCAACATCTCATGAGGTTATGTACCCTGAATGGAAAACTTAGTGAATAACTTAGTAAAACCATCCATGGTTCATTTACGAATGGCAATGTTTATCAAAGTTTCAGCAGTTTAGTCGCGAAAAATGTTCCGTTTGCATATGGATGCTGTTTTGAAGTTAGTAAATTTTTCTGAACTGCCAATAAATCAGCCCTTTGCAAATGCAACTGTGCATCAAAGAAGTACTTGTGACCTTCAAGTATATATGTGTGTTATATATTTATATGTACGTACATATGTATATCAATATAAATATTGCGATGCAGTTTTGATTCTACCAATCTTAATTCTAATGCATCCTGAGTGATTTTCTTAATTTAATGTAACTTAAAGATTCAATTTTCAATTGTGCAACCTGTCAGTCATGGATTTTTGTACATATTTCACTCTGTATATATTTTATGTTTAAAATCATCTGCTGTTTTTTACAATTCTCTTTTTTAAAAATGGTTCATATCTATTTCTGTGTTTGATCGTAATCATGATTTTTCTCTCTGAGAAGTGTTTTTTTTTTCCTTAACTTTTTTTAATTTTATTTTAAAGTCAGAAGAATATTTTATTTCAGTTTTCATTTTCAAAGTTTTATATGAATCAAAATTTTTTTCTTTTTGATTTAAAAAAAACGAATCCAGAGATGGCTAATTGTTATTTTTTTGTATATTTTATTTGTTAATATGTTTTGATTTGTTCATATATTTATTTATTCTCTATCATTTTATGAATAGAAATCGTCGAGCCGCAATATTGCGGTCGCATAATATTAATGCTTTGATGCAAATTTATGTTTGTTGGTATAAGTGAGTGTGGATTGTATGTTTCAAAAACCGAAAAAAATATATTAGTTTCATGATTTTAGTTGACACTTTTTTATTTCGTCTTCAGTGACCAACGCATTATCAAGGCTTTTTTTTTCTAAGTTTTAAATTTCAACATTTCTCATTAAAAATTGGGCAGGTCTGCATACTGAGCCGCAAAAATTCTTCCATCTACTCTGCAATGAGAAACATTTCAATTCCTTCCGCAAATCAGAAGATCTTATGTCTCTTTAATGTTGTAAAGAAAAAAAAACTCCTATGTTTCGCTTAGTTAAATTTTAAATCTGTTATGTGTAATTTTTGAAGGAAAATCCAAGTGTTAACATTCACTTTTATATTCTCTATGTTGCTGAAAGGATATTTTGCTTTATTTTTTGGTCTATTTTCTGGCTCTTTGTGAAAAGCACTTATGTGAACCTAGGTGCCCTATGCAGGTGGTAGGTGCTTTTATGGATAAGCAAAAAATTGTAGTTCCTCATTGCAAAATGTAAGTAGTCCATTTTACGCTCTGTATTTGGGTTGGAAAACATAAAAGAGAGATTCCCATCTAAAATTAGGATTAGGGGAAGATGATGAGGAGGGAAAGGAGGCAAGGAGAGGGAAAAAGAGAAAATAAAGGAGAACAAGCAAAGAGAAGGAGATGAGGATAATGTGAATTCATCAAGCAGAATTTCGTTCATCTTCTTTCCTTTATCTTTTTTTTCCTCTCCCGATCCTTTTTTCTCACTCTCCTCCTTTTACTTCTTCTCTTTCTCCTTTTTTCCCTCTTCTTGCCCTCTTTTCCTTTCCTTCTTTTTGAGGAGGGAAGAGAATTCCTTCCCCTCTTTTATCCTCCTCTCCTTTTTCTTCTTTTTCTCCACCTTTCCTTTTCTTTCTTCCTCTCTTTCTCTTTATTCTCCTTTCAAGCAGAATTGCAAATGAAAACTTAATTTAGCCTTTAATCAAAACTGTATTCTCCAACCTGCAAATTTAAAAAAATCATACAACGTTTTGAGTGGGAAATATTCCTGAAAAGTTCCTCCAAGCAGTGGTACCAATACCCTTAATGTTAGATTTTTTGCACCATTGATAGTTTAACCATGGTCAGTCACAACTGGTAACCTTAATCAAAAAATTAAATTAGGTGGATTCAAGCGGAATGAGCCCAGCTGCATTTATTGTAGCCTTATCTTCTCTTGTGTTTTTTTTTTCTTTAAACAGAGAACTGAACTACTGAACGCTTTTAAACTCTCTGTTAATTCACCTTAGATTGTGAAGAATTTATTCACGAAGATCGAGTTTCAGTTTTACTAAGTTTTCTGTTCAAAAAATGAAATATCAGAGAAAATTAGGCAACTTTTCCTGTAGTTAGAGTCATTCCGGTTAAACCCTTCTGATTACTGTTCGCTTAATTTCCCTTGATTTGAAAAACAACAAAACCTAAGTTGCTGAATGACTAATTTGAATGAAATATCTAAGTTGTTTATGATTGTCACGTGCTTGTATCAAATCTGTGGACGTGTTTCAATTTGTGTATGTGATGTGAACATGTTACAAAATAATGCCTTGTGTGGTCGTTTTATTCCACTGCTTTTGTAAACGGAAGGAATGTTTGTAAATGGAAAAACAATTTTTTAAAGATCGGTGTAAATAAATTAGCTAGGAGGCGTTAAATAATCAGGACTTGATCCCATGAAAATTTTGATTTTCATGAATATGCGATCGCTCACAGGAAGAAGAACGTTAGTGCTGATATCCTTGAAATTTAATGTTGGTATTTACGCCAATAGGAAAGTAGATGGTTTACTTTCCTGTTGAAATTAATGTTTCGTCGCTGGCTTTGTCAATTTTCCTTCTGTTCAACACTATCTTTTTCGATTTTTTGCCAACGCCTCAGACTGTAACATCAAAGTTGGTCGTTTGTCTAGATTGTCTGTTGGCTTTTGTTCATCATCTTGCATATGCACCTGTTATCAGAACATTATTTATTCTATATCTATTTGTAATACATCTGCGCACATTATATTCAGATACACAGCTGTGTCTCACCATAGTGTTTCTCAAAATAATGTTTTTGGGAGAACAACGCTTTACTTTTGATTCTCCCTTGAAAATGTTGTAATGACATAAGACCCTATCATTTATCTATGTATTTTGGTGTATAGACGAGTAGTGCTTGTGATCTGTGCTTTTTATGTCGTAGGGATTTTTGTTTAAGAGGAAGAATTTGAGTTTCCGACACCAGCGGGCTGATTAATGAAATTAATAGACCAAGCGATAGACAAAGAGGACATAATGAGTATGGAGTGTTCCTATTGGTTAATTTAGGTGGTTCTTATAGACTAAGGGAGAAAAAGATGGACTAGGTAACTATAGGGTCTCTTTTGTGTTGCTGTTAGTTAGTCTATTCCCTACCTCTTTTTTCCATTGTAACCTTCTGCTTCCACCAATAGGATCCCTCCATATCCTTTTGGTCTTCTTTGTCTACAGCTTTGTCCATCAATTTCTACAATCAGCCCGCAGGCACGGTAATTAGTGGCTGATGCTTATTGCGCATCCAGCTTTACTAATATATAAGAAATTGACCGAGGGAAATTTTATTTTTCTTTAGTTTTTCCGGTATTTTTGACTGTAAAATTCTAACATAATATCGTAAAAAAAACTGTTACAATATACAATATATTGGACCCTTTTTTGGATTCCTATTTAACATGTTTGAACAACTAATGTGTTAATTCAGACGTGAAGCATGGAAAGTTTGTTAAATTTTACAAATCTTTTCTATTGAGGCATAAAGTGAAGTAAAATGGAATTAGCGGAACACGTGCGACTAAAATTGAACATAATGTCAGCTTTTAGTAAGAGATTTTAGATCAAAGTCATAAAACAATTAGAGAGTGCATATGTTAAAAACGGGAAAAGAGTCTTGTAATTCGTGCATTCCAACAGTTTTTTTGAAGAATTTTTCCTCTTTTTTTATTTTTAGTTTTCATTACATTTTTCCGCACGGTCAATGCGACTGGGAAGGGATCTTAATTTTTCAAGGAATAATCGATTTCATCTGTTCAAATTTATTTCAACCCATTGATAAACTTTCGATCATACCACAACAGAGTATGGATTCTTTGATCCGAATGAAAGAAAATAACTGTCACATTTTCCTGGCCTCTCACTTTTAATCTTGCCTCAGGGCATTTTCATTTAAGCACGTCTGATTAATAGATAAAATTCCTGATAAATGTTCTCAAGTTAATTTTCTTCGATCGAATAGGCAACGTCATCGGGCATTTACAACCTTTAACATTGAGTGCAGTTGTTGAAAGATTGAGAAGTGAAACACTTTTTTCACGGTAGATGTATCTTTGTGCCAAAAATGTTTGAAAGTCAGCTTTTTGCTCAAAGACTAGAAACATAAAATTTGTCCCATCTAAGAGGAAAAATTCAAGTTGCCAATTTTACTGTAAGACACCATTTGCTTGGGCTGGTGTTTGTTTTAATTTCAAAGATTAATTTTCACCAGACAATTTAGGTTGTTCTTCATAACGGGGAAAATTAGTCGGCGTATAGCAGACTTAAATTTCAATCTGAAAAATTAATTTAAATTAAATTTAAACTATTTCATTATAAAGCAGGATTAGAGCTGATCTCTGGCCACTTAAAATTCTCAGTGAATTCATAGTTACTTAATGGGTGGCTGTTGTGTCAACTATACTTTTTTTAAATGTTCGGAAATCATCATATCAAGGGTGAAATGGACTACAATTTGCGATTAGGAACTGAAATATCTGGCTCAGTTTGACAAAAACTTAAATACCTTTAGTTCCCCTATGTTATATGTTTTTTTACAGATGAGCTAGGAATTGTAGTTTCTAATTGTGAAATGTAGTCCAATTATTTTAGTGGTTGCACTTATATTTTTAAAAAAATCCAAGCAATATTCCCATAATTTTATGATGAATTATTGTGCAAG